GGACCCTCGGCGTCCCCTTCCCTCCCCCGCCCTGCCCCCTCTTCCGCGACGCGGACCCGGGCGTCCCCAGCGCCCAGCGTTTTGAGCTCGCAACCCCAGGCAGGCGGGGGGGGAGGGGAAGAGAGGGGACCCTTGGACCCCTGCCCCCCCCACCGGCCGCTCCCGCCCCCCGGGACCCGGAGAAGATGTCTTCGCGGACGGCGCTGGCTCCGGGCAACGATAGGAACTCGGACACGGTGAGTGGGGGCCTGCCCCTTGGGGAGCCCTGGCCGGGTCCAGCCACCGAATCCCTGGCCCCACCGTACCTCTCGCCCCGCTAGCCCTTACCCACATCGTTCGGGCCTGGCCGCGCTCGACACCCCCGACCCCCTCCCTCACCGCCAGGCCTCTCGGCCCTCCCCACCTCTCCAGCCTAGCCCGACCCCTGGGGGCGCCCCTCTCCCGGGACCCCTCTGTGTCCCTCTGCCTGCAGCTTCCGCTTTGGGTCTCTTCTCTCCAGGAAGCCCCCTCCCCTGCCTACTAGGAGCCCCTCCTTAATCCGGCGTGCTTAAGCCCCTTCCCCTTCAGGCCGGCTGCATCAGACAGTTCGCTTCTCTTGGATTTGCAGGGCCCATGACCCCCAAGGCCCAGCCCTGGCCTGCTCCCAGGAAGGCCAGGCCCAGCCCTGCCTCAGACTCTATCCTTCCCCCTCTGGATCTTTCGCCCTGCCGCCCAGAAGCCCCTTCCTCCCATTCTCAGCCTTCCTCCCAGCCGCTTTGGGCAGCCCCTCATGGGAAGCTGAGGCCACCTTCCCTCCCCACCTTTCCTGGGCACTGGGCCTCTTTCTACTTTTTCAAGGTCTCCTCACTTCCCAGGCCTGGAACCCATCTTCCCACCAGCACTGTTCCTGGATTGCCAGAAACCTGGGTCCCCCCCTAAACCCTGCCTGCACCCCTTCTGGCCTCTTCCTCTCCCAGGAAGTCTTGGCTTCCAAAATGCAGGTCCTCGGTCCACTCAGATTTCTAGGCCCTGATCTATCTGACTCCAGGCCTCAGCCTCCTTGTAGTCTCTTAGGCTTTAGGCAAGCCCCTTCTCCAAGCCCCCAGAGCCCCAAGCTGTCAGCCCCCTTCAAGGCCTGGGCAGGCCACTTCCTCACATCTCTTTTCCTCCTAATCTTCCAAGCTCCCACCCCTTGTCCTGCTCCAAGGCCTCCACCTCCCTCACTGGGAGACCTGGCCTTCCAGGAAACCCCCTCCTCAATCCCCAGGCACCTTCCAGAAGATTTCTGTACTAGAAGTTGCTGCCCCTGCCTTGGCTTGGAGTCTTCTTCTCTGGAAGCCTTCTCCCCAAATCTCAAGGCCTCTTGACCTCCCCACCCCCAAGCTCAGCCTTCCTTCCTCTGGACTGCCCCTTACACCAGAAGCCCCTTCCCCAGGACTCTAGCTCTCAGACCCTTCTCTGGTTCCCAAGACTGCTCTAGGAGCCCCCTTCTCTGATTTTGAGGACTTTCCCCAAGACTTAGACTCCTGGGCCAGGGGTCCCCTACTTTTGACTTCTACTGTCTGTCTCTGTGGCTTTTTTTCTTCATCCAAGTCTCAGCCAAATCCTCATCCTCCAAATGCCTGGCCTTTCCGCCCCATACCACTGCTCAGGACAATCCCCAAAGATCCCCTTCTTTGTCTCCCATATTTCTGGTCACTCTCTGTCCTTCCAAAGACCCTCCCACTCAACCAATCCCAGCTGGGGTCTTTGTCCTTTTGTCCCCAGACCTTCTGCCAGGCCCTTGTCATCCCTGGCACCCCACCAGAAAAATTCATCTTTGCTCGTTTTCATCCCAGGACTCTCTCCCTTATAGAAATCTCCAGTTTGGAGTTTGATGAAAGGCCCAGCTCCCTCCTCCCTCAGTTGCTACACTCCTGGGTTCAAATTTCAGCTTTTGTCAGTGACTTGCTGTGTGTTCTCAGGCAACAGGCTTTTCCTTTCCTGAGCCTCAGTTTCTTGCTCTGGAAAATGGGCATGATCCCTGGACTCTCTGACCATGGTGGTTAAGCCTGGTGCTAGGCTAGGCAGCACTCCACAAGTGGAAACTATGATTTCAACTGGAAAGCTGAGTCAGGCAGACCTTGGCTTCTCCACCCAGGACTCCCTGGGGGCAGCCTCAGTTTCTTTATCTCTGAAATGGGGTTGATGGTATCTCTGTGTTTGGGATGCTTTAAAGGAGCCAAGATTCTGTGAATGTTGTAACTGCCGTCATTGTTATTATTATTACTTTAATTATTCACAGTAACTTGGGTTCAGATCTAGTTTCTGCTCCTCCCTAGCC